AGCTGCTGTGAGTGGATTTCCTGACTCCGGACTGATGGTACCATATGCTCTCTGAGACTGTTTTTGAAACACTGCTTCTCAGTACTTTGAACACCACTTTCCCTACCATAAGATTTCACTAAATTTATTTTTTAGAACACTATTTTCATTAGGATGAAGACTTTTTAACATTTGCAAAGTTCACAACCCTTGAAATTGCTGGTATTTGAAAATTGCAGTGAAAAATAAGTCAGTGAAATTTCATCCAAGTTGATGGTTTGCTTACTGCATGATAAGTGTTTCTGTGATTTGAGTTGAAGTGCATGCCATTCATAACGGGTTAATCTGCAATTAGGAGGGAACCTTACCACTACAGCTTCTACTGTTTAAGCTGGTTAAGTTTAGGTGTTTGTTTATCCAAGCCAAATGTGTCTTTCAAAGCTTTCATGAGCTAAGAGAAGTAAAATCGGTGCCCCTGTATGTTGGATATTTTCTAGTTTGAATATATAACTGGAGAGAAAACAAGGAAAAGATAATAAAATGAAAAGGCAAAATTGATTTCTTCAGAATTGCACGTGGTAGTATTCCTTTGACCTTATTGGAACATGAGGAACGATGCTGAAGTAGCAAGAAATAGCAATTTCTCAAAATTCCCTTTTGCTTTGTAACAAAATCAAGTCATAGTTTTCTTTGCAAAAATGCATTCGCCAGTGAACAGTAGGGGAGGAATAAGGTCTTATAATCAGTTGAAATGATGCAAGTGATTCATAATAGCCTAGAGAAAGGGCTAGAGAATCTTGGAGGCAAATGGTGCATAACCTTGATGGGTATAGCCCTGGGAATTCCTAATTCTTCAAAGTTAAGAGGAAGCAAAGCACCTCCAAGGCAAATGATGGCTCTAGGAATTGTGAGATTGGCAGTACCTACTGTGTGTGGCATTCCTATTGGAATATGTAACCTCCTACAAGTGAAAATTTTTCAATTATATGAAAAGCAGTATGTTTATAAAAAGGAAAGCAGAGAGCAAGAAACAAACACTCTGAACAAAACTCTCAGAAGAGAGAAGTTGCAATCGAGTCAACTCCCCTAACGCTGTTTCATTTGTTTGGCTAAAGTCCAGTTTTCAATGGGGGAGATGAAGGTTGAAATGGTAACAACCAAGGTGTAGTAAGAAGGGAGCACCCCTCAGACAAAGAAGTGTTACCATGACCTACTTGAGGCTAACATGGGAAGTAGAAATGATTTATTGTGAAACTCCTGTGTTAATCTTAAATTTTGCTTCCTAGTAGGGCCGGACGGTTAGCAGAACTATTTTCCTCCCATCACCATACTTATGCAACCCACTCACAACCCTCTACAATTCTGGCTTCCGGCCTTGGGGAGGGGGAAGTAGGTTAAAATGGATTATGTAATGCTCACTTAGAGTTGTTGGGGGAAGAACGTGTGCATGACTAAGTAGTGCAGCTCCCTCTGTCCTTTTATATTTGCTCTAATCAAATTTTATTCTGAATGAAATTCTGGAGGGAGTGAAATGAAATGGAGAGTGAAGGGTGCAGATTGCAGAAATTCTTCCTTATCTCCCACAGAGATACCAATATCTGTGGGCGAAAACAAGTGACAACTAGGAACAAAGAGAACTTTTATATTTGCCTCAGCAGAAAGCACTGAAATTGAGTTTTTGAATCGGCTGAGCCATTTTACCCCATAACTTTTCATTACAGAACGTTATGTCCCTACAAGATTGCTCTATTAGTTGGATTTTTTTTCACATTTAGGGAGAATTATAACAAAAGCAGTTTTATATAAGAGTTGTCTATTCAAATTTTTGCTAACAATAAAAACATTTCCTAAATATTTAACCTGCCTTGTATTCTTAAAATATTTGAAAAATACTGAGGGCAAAGGAAAACTGTTAAAAATATGAGTTCACACAATTACACTTGCTTCTGTGAATTTTCTAATGAAATCAAAATCAGTTTTATTCTAGAGGAAGATAAATAAAAGGAAGGAGGGTAGGGGGAACACAAAATAAAAGGAAGGAGGGTAGGGGGAACACAAAACGGGAGGGAGACAAGGACAGAAGGAAGAAACCAAGAAATAGGCATTTACTGAGCATCCATTATGATCCAAAACAGTGTTAGTCGCTTTGATTAAGCATTCTCTTTCGTGCACATTTAATTCTCCCAAAACTCTATGGACCCCACTTTATTTTTAGAGGAGAAAGCAATATATTCAGCCATATTACATTTGACATTTATGACAAGTAGATACTAAAAAGGCGAAATAAACCCTCCCACAGAAATTGGCACAGATATTGCCCTATAGGAATTTTCTTTCCAAGGCTTGTTTTTTATCCATAACCATTACATTTTAAGGCACTAGATATTGCTCTGGTCCTGGAAAGGGGAAGCCCTGTAGATTGGCCCTTCTTTGTATTAAGTGATGAATTTGGCTCTTTGCAATTAAGTGCAGGATTCTGTCTGCTTCGGGAACATTATCTGGGTTCATGTATAGTCCTGTTACCAGGAGCAAGCCTGATTGAGGGTTTTCCTGGATGATCTCCTTCAGGTAGGTAAAAACGAAAAGGGTGTGGTGCCCTTTCACCCTGACCTGGAAGTGGTTCAAGAAGAGTTAGAAATAAAAAGAAAAATTGGAGCCATTTGCTACATAATTGTAGGAGAAACTTCATGATGATTTCTGAACATTTACAGTGTTTAAAGACAGAATGAAACATGGAGTATCATAGCACCTCTTCTCCAGGTAGCTTGAAATTAGTCTGCTCTCTTTCTGTAACACCTTTGGTTAAATCTGCAACTACCTCTTGATGTCTTAAACCACTTCACTCTTCCTAAGAAGTTTCAATGTTAAATACCTGCTAGTCAGCAAGATAGTTTCAGCTCACAGTTAATTACATATAGTTTAAAGCAGTCTGCAGTCTCTGAAAATTAGCACCGTCTGCATTTCCTGCAAATAGTTATTAGATGAACCTAGAAATTAATAGGTAATCAAGATCAATAACAGATTCACCAAAATACAAAATTCTGTACATTCTTTACTATCTTCATTTTGTTATGTCTCCATCGACACATTTATTTTGGGGCAACTTGCATTTGCTTTGGCAGGTACTTGTGGTCACTGTCTCACGGGATTGGAGGGTAGCAAAAGGAAGGAAGGGTGACAGAGAGGATGGAAAGTGAGATTAGAAAAAAGACATGGCTGAGTGGATAAAATGAGACGTGATAGTGTTTTTAATGGCTAAATCTGAAATTACTTGTTTTTCTTGGCTGAATTAGTCATAGTTTTGTGAATGCCAAAGAAATAGGTAAGGATGATCAAAGTATCTGTAGCAAAATTTTTGAGAGAAGAGTAACCATATAGATCCCAATATTATTAGGGTGTTTTTGAGGGTGGAGCCCTGCATATAGCACTGACATTTTAAAATCTTTGTTAGTCTATTATAATTCATTAATAGATTGCCACTCAAAAATACATGCTTGGAACAGTTTACCACTTGGATATGCATGTTCAGAGCAGTCTGACAAAGCTTGAATGTCTTCAGTGTTTATCTTATATTTGGGATATAAAATATGCGGCCGTCTTCTATGACTGCGGAATGGGGCTTGTTTCCTGGTTATGTGGGCTTCACTAGACAATGCCAGAACCCAGGCAGCTACTGAGTCTCGAGAACTTTGCTCAAAATTAGCATCAGCTACCACCTGGTAAGTTAAGGCATTTTGGTCATGGCCAAATTGGCTTTTTTTTGACCAACTCTTCAGCTTTTTAAAAGCTAAAGAGTTAAGACTTCTTATAGGCGTGATTATCTTAGAAGGAGGTTCAAACATTTTAAATGTGCTTTTCTACCCATTAAAAAATGTATCTGACTTTAGTAATAAAAATATTTTCAGTGGATGTCAGCACAAGATTTTTTAAAGCAAAAAACGGGAAATTTTATATTTCTCAAACCAATTTGCAGTCCGTATGTCATTTAATCTTCGTAATAACCCTGTGGATATCCCCCATTTTAATATAAATAAATCTCAGAAATTTTAGGTGATTTATAACAGAGTTACCAATCAGGTATTTTAAAGTGCATCTTCAGATCCTGAATGAACACATGCCCTAAATGCTAGAAATCTAATTATTTCAGTCACTCCTTAATATGATCAAGAATTTCCCTGCAAACTGATGAAAACATTTTTTTTCATTTCTCTGTATTCAGTATCAGAAGATAGGTTCTGATATATAGTCTATTAGAAGGAAAAAAGAGCATGGATAAATGTTAACATATGGCTTTCAGGATAATTTTGCTGCTTTTACATTTTACTTGATGAAATAAAATAATGACAATTTTTTTTATGCTTTAGTTTGGTTTCTTGCTGATACGTCAGTCCCAGACTTACTACCAACATTGGGGTCTTATTGATACAGTAATCACGTTTGCCACAAGCTTGAACTCTATGAGTGTAAAATTGAGATTGTAGCCCAATACCGCCTCAGGACTTTAAGTCACAGAAATGTATAATCTGGTTGCATCAGAACAGAAGGAGTAATTCCATTGCAGCAGAATCTACCACAGTTGTGTAGATGTGACTAAACAGTTGAATTTCATACTTCCACTCTTAGATATTCATGAGAAGTTCTATGTTTAGATTAGGTGGTGAGTTAAAGGAATACTTATATCTCACACATGCATTTAACTATCCTGTCCACTGTAATTTTACTGTCTGGTCTCAGAAAGGGGAAGAAAAAAAGTTTGGATGATACTTTTTTCTTTGACTGTGTTAGTTTCTCCTTCGGCAGATATTTTTGTCATCTCTTCTTTTGAGTCCAGTTTTCCTAAAGTTTGTTTATGTCAATGGCTCTTGACAAACTGATAAAATGTTTCCAGAAAGCACATGGATTTGGAACTCTCTCTTGTTATGTTTATATTAGGCTTTGTTTTAAAGGCAAGTGAGACTGCTTCAAATAAAACAACTCCAAGCTTCCAAGAAACAGTTAAGAGAAGGCAGAGACGGGCAGAAACACCCCTTCACTAACACTCACACGGTTGCCATGGACCTACATAAGCAGTGGGAGAACACAGAGACTAACTGGCGCAAGGAAAAGATGGAATTACTGGACCAGTTTGACAATGAAAGAAAGGAATGGGAAAGTCAATGGAAGATCATGCAGAAGAAGATAGAAGAGGTACAGGTTGATTTGTTTTGAATGTACTGGAAACTTAAAACTCAGAATGAAAATTCTGTTGGTTTGTTTTGTATTGGAAACTAATTTTACTTTCCAGTTCCACCTAAAAGATGCATGTCTCAGTGGTATTTACTAGACCAAAAATAGCATAACCTAACCCAATGTTAGACTATGCTAATTTATAGCTTTGCATGCAAATTAGAACTTGAAATGTCTTTCTAAAGTGTATCAATTTATTATTTTCTGACTAGAGTGCTGTGGTATCAAAAGTGAGGTATGTATTTTGCATAAGTTTTCAAATTCCGGGCCCAGGATGAAAACAGAAGAAAAACATAATTGGTGGAACATATTTTAGTAAAATTATAACTGGGCATTAAAACACAGATCTTTTCAGAGATGACTTATGAATAATGTCTACTAAAGGCAGTTATGTATTAGATAATTCAGTATAATCAAAAAGAACATCATATATCAAAAAGAAAATGGAGGTGGACATGGTATTTATCCTGGCAAGGTGTGGCACATTTATTGACACATTTATTTGGAAAGAATTTATAAAAAAAGACATGCCGAGACTCTGATACAAATAATAATTTTATTCCTTCATGCTGTTTGGCCCAGAATACTTCCTTTAAGTATCTGCATTGATGTATATTCAAGCTTGTTCCAACTGAAAATTATTTATACTTATCTTGCTTTCTTGTAACATTCCCTGCTGTTGACTTATATGGTTTTGTGCACATTGCCAAGGCAGTTATTTTAACAGACTCCTTGGCCTTTATTCACAGACAATCAAAGCTGGTGCTTTATGTGTTTATAGTGCAAATATTTTTCTTATTAACAGCCCTATAATTGGTTATAAATAAAATACAAGTTGGCGTGCTAAAAGGAAAAATAAAAAAGAATAGCCATGGGACTATCCTGAAATAGAGCTGAGAAGGCAGGCGTGCAGCAGGTGACGACAGATTGAAAGGAGAATTTACTTCTCATCCTTCTATAGTTTGGAAAATGCGTTTTGCTTGCTCCCTTAACTCCTCCACCCAGAGGCTCAGATTGGACCCACAGGGAGATGGCTAGGTCAAATCAAAATCCACAACTCCAATTCAAAACCTGAACTCATTGGCTTCCAAAGGTTTGGAAGGACCAGTTAGTAGCAATCTCAGATAATTCTAGCATCCAAGCAAAATAATTGAGGGAGTCAGGATTAGTCTAGCCAGTTGTTTAAGCCATGTAGCTAAGATGGTCTGCTGTCTGGTTAAATTTGTTATTGTCAAATAATTATTCTGACAGCTCTGTAGATTCCATCTATGGAAAATATTAACCTTATCAATTAGCAGGCGTTAAACATAGATGATAGTCCATAGAAATACTGACAGAAGGGCTGGAATATTTTTTCTTTATCTTGGATAGTAGCTGTGCTGCTATTTATGTCATTCTGCCTGCAGTGTACAACACCATACCTGGGAATATGTTTAGATAATGTGCTTACCCAAACTACCCACTCAGAGATGATGCTGTTCAACACCTGAATACTAGCATTGTGCTTCCCTTATCATACTAATATAGTTGTCCCTCAGTATACATGGGAGATTGGTTCCAGGAGCCCCTGTAGATACCAAAATTCATGGATGCTCTCAAGTTTCTTATATAAAATGGCATAGTATGTATGTATTTTTTCCCACTCCCAGCTTTGTACCTGTAAGAATGTACCTTCTTACAGGCTACAAAGCTGGGAGTAGAGAACAGGAGGAAATTGTCCTCACATGTCACAGAAAATCAAGACAATATTTTTAACTAAAATTAAAAATCAACACTTGGAAAAAAATGTAACATGCCACAAGCATAATAGACTGTATTTCTTTCTTATTTATCACTAAGCTCTGTGTATTAAATCAGACACAACTTATTAAGCCATATATTAGAACATTATACATTTCCCGGTGCATGCATATAACTTCTGTGATTCCAAGTAAAAATGTTGTTAGTGAGAGGATCAGTGCTGGGTATTAAGATGCTAATGATTCTTTGTTCAGCGACTATCCACAATCATTGCATTTGCTATTACAAAACGAAGATGTACATACTTGGATCTTTGAAACCTAGACTAATCCAGATACATACCCTTAATAGAGTTAATACATGCCTGGCAATTTTCTTTTATCACATTGCCATCTTTCCTGATTGTCTCCTTTGATCAGATAACCATTGAAAACAGCTAGGTACCAAGTAACACAGATTTCCTTTTACAAAATAAATGGTTTTCCATCAATAATATAATGATATTTGTTTATTCATACTTCACCTAAGTCCCCAAGAGAATTTAGGATGTCAAATGAAATTCTATGTAAGGTAAAGTATTCCAAAACTAGAAGAGAAAGATGAGATGAAGACAAGAGGAAGGATCCTTTGTGAAATGCATGCAGCCAATCTGTCTTTCTAGTAAGTAACAAAAAATAATCAAATGCATATTTCTCAGTATTCAGAAAACAAAAGCAAACGTATTTCCCAGAAATAGCACTTTCGTCCCTGATTTTGCAACTAAAGCAATTTTGTTTCCACCCATGACTCCTCTAAAAGAGGACAGAGCTACCAATAGCATCCTTAGATTTAGCATGGTGTTTTGAGGGTTGCTTCTTATAATGTCCCTCAAATTCAGCCAAAATTATAATGGCCACAACTGTTCAGTACAGATAATTTTACAGGGGCCAAAACAGTTGATTCACGGCTGCAATTTGATGCTATCCTGACTTCATCCAACTACAGATTTGTAAGTATTTAGGGCATAAATGCATGGCATATCCTTCAGGCATTAACTATGTTATAGTGCTTCACTCATCTGAGATTTGGGTAAGTATTGAGCAGCAGTAAATCTGTTATTCTTTTTTTTTCCTTTAACATCTTTACTGGAGTATAATTGCTTCACAATGGTGTGTTAGCTTCTCCTGTATAACAAAGTGAATCAGCTATACGTATACATATATCCCCATATCTCCTCCCTCTTGTGTCTCCCTCCCACCTTCCCTATCCCACCCCTCTAGGTGGACACAAAGCACTGAGCTGATCTCCCTGTGCTATGTGGCTGCTTCCCACTAGCTAGCTATTTTACGTTTGGTAGTGTATATATGTCCATGCCACTCTCTCACTTCATCCCAGCTTACCCTTCCCCCTCCCTGTGTCCTCAAGTCCATTCTCTACGTCTGTGTCTTTATTCTGGTCCTGCCCCTAGGTTTTTCAGAACTATATATATATATATTTAGATTCCATATATATCTGTTAGCATACAGTACTTGTTTTTCTCTTTCTGACTTACTTCACTCTGTATGACAGTCTCTAGGTCCATCCAGCTCACTACAAATGACTCAATTTCATTTCTTTTTATGGCTGAGTAATATTCCATTGTATATATGTGCCACACCTTCTTTATCCATTCACCTGTTGATGGACACTTAGGTTGCTTCCATGTCCTGGCTATTGTAAATAGAGCTGCAATGAACATTGTGGGGCACGACTCTTTTTGAATTATGGTTTTCTCAGGGTATATGCCCAGTAGTGGGATTGCTGTGTCGTATGATACTTCTATTTTTAGTTTTTTAAGGAGACTCCATACTGTTCTCCGTAGTGGCTGAATTAATTTACATTCCCACCAACAGTGCAAGAGTGTTCCCTTTTCTCCACACCCTGTCCAGTGTTTATTGTTTGTAGATTTTTTGATGATGGCCATTCTGACTGGTGTGAGTTGATAACCTCATTGTAGTTTTGATTTGCATTTCTCTAATGGTTAGTGATTTTGAGCATCCTTTCATGTGTTTGTTGGCAATCTGTATATCTTCTTTGGAGAAATGTCTATTTAGGTCTTCTGCCCATTTGTGGATTGGGTTGTTTGTCTTTCTGATATTGACCTGCATGAGCTGCTTGTAAATTTTGGAGATTAATCCTTTGCTAGTTGCTTTGTTTGTAAATATTTTCTCCCATTCTGAGGGTTGTCTTCTCGTATCTTTTATGGTTTCCCTTGCTGTGCAAAAGCTTTTAAGTTTCATTAGGTCCCATTTGTTTATTTTTGTTTTTATTTCTATTTCTCTAGGAGGTGGGTCAAAAAGGATCTTGCTTTTGATTTATGTCATAGAGTGTTCTGCCTATGTTTTCCTCTAACAGTTTTATAGTGTCTGGCCTTACATTTAGGTCTTTAATCCATTTTGAGTTTATTTTTGTGTATGGTGTTAGGGAGTGTTCTAATTTCATTCTTATACATGTAGCTGTCCAGTTTTCCCAGCACCACGTATTGAAGAGGCTGTCTTTTCTCCATTGTACATTCTTGCTTCCTTTATCAAAGATAAGGTGACCATATGTGCATGGGTTTATCTCTGGGCTTTCTATCCTGTTCCGTTGATCTATATTTCTGTTTTTGTGCCAGTGCCATACTGTCTTGATTACTGTAGCTTTGTAGTATAGTGTGAAGTCCCGGAGCCTGATTCCTCCACCATCAGTTTTTCTTTCTCAAGATTGCTTTGGCTATTCGGGGTCTTTTGTGTTTCCATACAAATTGTGAAATTTTTTGTTCTAGTTCTGTGAAAAATGCCATTGGCAGTTTGAGAGTAGTTTGACTGCATGGAATCTGTAGATTGCTTTGGGCAGTATAGTCATTTTCACAATGTTGATTGTTCCAATGCAAGTACATGGTATATCTCTCCATCTGTTTGCATCATCTTTAATTTCTTTCATCAGTGTCTTATAGTTTTCTGCATTCTGGTCTTTTGTCTCCTTAGGTCGGTTTATTTCTAGGTATTTTATTCTTTTTGTTGCAATGGTAAATGGGAGTGTTTCCTTAATTTCTCTTTCAGATTTTTCATCATTAGTGTATAGGAATGCAAGAGATTTCTGTGCGTTAATTTTGTATCCTGCTACACTACCAAATTCATTGATTAGCTCTGATAGTTTTCTGGTAGCATCTTTAGGATTCCCTATGTATAGTATAGTATCATGTCATCTGCAAACAGTGACAGTTTTACTCTTCTTTTCCAATTTGGATTCCTTTTGGTTTTTTTCTTCTCTGGTTGCTGTGGCTAAAAGTTCCAAAACTATGTTGAATAACAGTGGTGAGAGTGGGCAACCTTGTTTTGTTCCTGATCTTAGTGGAAATGGTTTCAGTTTTTCACCATTGAGAACAATGTTGACTGTGGGTTTGTCATATATGGCCTTTATTATGTTGAGGTAAGTTCCCTCTATGCCTACTTTCTGGAGGGTTTTTATCAAAATGGATGATGAATTTTGTCAAAAGCTTTTTCTACATCTATTGAGATGATCATATGATTTTTATTCTTCAATTTGTTAATATGGTGTATCACATTGATTGATTTGCATATATTGAAGAATCCTTGCATTCCTGGGATAAACCCCACTTGATCATGGTGTATGTTCCCTTTTTTTTTTTGGGGTACGCGGACCTCTCACTGTTGTGGCCTCTCCCATTGCAGAGCACAGGCTCCGGACACGCAGGCTCAATGGCCATGGCTCACAGGTCCAGCCCGTCCGTGGCATATGGGATCTTCTTGGACCGGGGCATGAACCCGTGTCTCCTGCATCGGCAGGCGGACTCTCAACCACTGTGCCACCAGGGAAGCCCCATATGTTCCTTTTAATGTGCTGTTGGATTCTGTTTGCTAGTATTTTGTTGAGGATTTTTGCATCTATGTTCATCAGTGATATTGACCTGTAGTTTCCTTTCTTTGTGATACCTTTGTCTGATTTTGGTATCAGGGTGATGGTGGCCTCGTAGAATGAGTTTGGGAGTGTTCCTCCCTCTGCCATATTTTGGAAGAGTTTCAGAAGGATGGGTGCTAGCTCTTCTCTAGATGTTTGATAGAATTCACCTGTGAAGCCATCTGATCCTGAGCTTTTGTTTGTTGGAAGATTTTTGATCACAGTTTCAATTTCAGTGCTTGTGATTGGTCTGTTTATATTTTCTATTTCTTCCTGGTTCAGCCTCGGGAGGTTGTGCTTTTCTAAGAATTTGTCCATTTCTTCCAGCTTGTCCATTTTATTGCCATATAGTTGCTTGTAGTAATCTCTCATGATCCTTCGTATGTCTGCAGTGTCAGTTGTTACTTCTCCTTTTTCATTTCTAGTTCTAGTGATTTGAGTCTTCCCCTTTTTTTCTTGATGAGCCTGGCTAATGGTTTATCAATTTTGTTTATCTTCTCAAAGAACCAGCTTTTCTATCATTTCCTTCATTTCTTTTTCATCTATTTCTGATCCGATCTTTATGATTTCTTTCCTTCTGCTAACTTTGGGGTTATTTTGTTCTTCTTTCTCTAATTGCTTTAGCTGTAAGGTTAGGTTGTTTATTTGAGATTTCTCTTGTTTCTTGAGGTAGGATTGTATTGCTATAAACTTCGTCATGTTTTCATTGTCATTTGTTTCTAGGTATTTTTTGATTTCCTCTTTGATTTCTTCAGTGATCTCTTGGTTATTTAGTAGTGTATTGTTTAGCCTCCCTGTGTTTGTATTTTTTACAAATTTTTTCCTATAATATCTAGGCTCATAGCGTTGTCAGAAAAGATACTTGATACGATTTCAATTTTCTTAAATTTACCAAGGCTTGATTTGTGACCCAAGATATGATCTATCCTGGACAATGTTCCTCGAGCACTTAAGAAGAAAGTGTATTCTGTTGTTTTTGGATGGAATGTCCTATAAATATCAATTAAGTCCATCTTGTTTAATGTATCATTTAAAGCTTGTATTTCCTTATTTACTTTCATTTTGGATGATCTGTCCATTGGTGAAAGTGGGGTGTTAAAGTCCCCTTTTATGATTGTGTTACTGTCAATTTCCCCTTTTATGGCTGTTAGCGTTGCCTTATGTACTGAGGTGCTCCTATTTTGGATGCATAAATATTTACAATTGCTATATCTTTTTCTTTGGTTGGTCCCTTGATCATTTTGTAGTGTCCTTCTTTGTCTCTTGTAATAGTCTTTATTTTAAAGTCTATTTTGTCTGATATGAGAATTGCCATTCTAGCTATCTTTTGATTTCCATTTACATGGAATATCTTTTTCCATCCCCTCACTTTCAGTCTGTATGTGTCCCTAGGTCTAAAGTGGGTCTCTTGTAAACAGCATATATGCGGGTCTTGTTTTCATATCCATTCAGCCAGTCTATGTCTTTTGGTTGGAGCATTTAATCCATTTACATTTAAGTTAGTTATCGATATGTGTGTTCCTATTACCATTTTCTTAATTGTTTGGGGTTTGTTATTGTAAGTCTTTTCCTTCTCTTGTGTTTCCTGCCTAAAGAAGGTACTTTAGTATTTGTTGTAAAGCTGGTTTGGTGGTGCTGAATTCTCTTAGCTTTTGCTTGTCTGTAGAAGTTTTAATTTCTCCGTGGAACCTGAATGACATCCTTGCTGGGTAATCTTGTAGGTTTTTCCCTTTCATCACTTTAAATATGCCCTTCCACTCCCTTCTGGCTTGCAGATTTTCTGCTGAAAGATTACCTGTTAAACTTATAGGGATTCCCTTGTATTTTATTTGTTGTTTTTCTCTTGCTGCTTTTAATATTTTTTCTTTGTATTTAATTTTTGATAGTTTGATTAATATGTGTCTTGGCATGTTTCCCCTTGGATTTATCCTGTATAGGACTCTCTGCTCTTCCTGGACTTGACTGACTATTTCCTTTCCTATATTAGGGAAGGAATATAGGAAATAATCTCTTCAAATATTTTCTCTGTCCCTTTCTTTTTCTCTTCTCCTTCTGGGACCCCTACAATTCTCATGTTGGTGTGTTTAATGTTGTCTCAGAGGTCTCTGAGACTGTCCTCAATTCTTTTCATTCTTTTTTCTTTTTTCTGCCCTGTGGTAGTTATCTCCACTATTTTACCTTCCAGGTCACTTAACCGTTCTTCTGCCTCAGTTATTCTGCTATTGGTTCCTTCTGGAGAATTTTTAATTTCATTTATTGTGTTGTTCATCATTGTTTGGTCTTTAGTTCTTCTAGGTCCTTGTTAAACATTTCTTGTATTTTCTCCATTCTATTTCCAAGATTTTGGATCATCTTTACTATTATTACTCTGAATTCTTTTTCAGGTAGACTGCCTATTTCCTCTTCATTTGTTTGATGTGGTAGGTTTTTACCTTGCTCCTTCATCTGCTGTGTATTTCTCTGTCTTCTCATTTTGCTTAATTTATTGTGTTTAGAGTCTCCTTTTCGCAGGCTGCAGGTTCGTAGTTCGCATTGTTTTTGGTGTCTCCCCCCAGTGGGTAAGTTTGGTTCAGTGGGTTGTGTAGGCTTCCTTGTGGAGGCGACTGGTGCCTGTGTTTTGGTGGATGATGCTGGATCTTGTTTTTCTGGTGGGCAGGACCGCATCCGGTGGTGTGTTTTAGGGTGTCTGTGAACTTAGTATGATTTTAGGCAGCCTCTCTGCTAATGGGTGGGGTTGTGTTCCTGTCTTGCTAGTTGTTTGGAATGGAGTGTCCAGCACAGTATCTTGCTGGTTGTTGAGTGGAGCTGGGTCTTAGTGTTGCGATGGAGATCTCTGGGAGAGCTTTCGCTGTTCGATATTTCATGGAGCCGGGAGGTCTCTGGTGGACCAATGTCCTGAACTCGGCTCTCCCACCTCAGGGGCTCAGGCCTGACACCTGGCCGGAGCACCAAGACCCTATAAGCCACTCGGCTGCTAGTGCTGGAGGGTCTCCTGCAGAGGCGGGGGGTGGCTAGGGCTCGGCTGGGGCTCACGGCCAGGACAAGGATCTGGGAGCAGAAGTTCTCTGTTATTCTTTGAATAATAGATGTAGTGCAGATATACGTTGTGACTGTAAAACGTAGAGTCATTTGCTTTAATAGTTCTCTGAATGTCTTTGGAATTTGACAAGCTTTCCCAGAACACAAGCCTGAAGAGAAAGCCAGTAATAGCCGGCAGGTTAAACTGAACTCTCAAGAACTAATTTGGGGCCCACTTTAGCATAGACTAATAGATGATCAACGCCTTAGAGTTCTATCGTATTACCTAGGACAGGGTCACATTTGTTTTAATTACGACAGGAAACATTTTTTGAATGTATGTAGCCTTCGAAAAAAAAAAGTCTCAGAATTACCTGTCCCTCAACAATGTAACTTCCAAAAGTAACATATTTTGATTGCAAAATGTCTACTTAGGGACAGAATTAGCTGCGTTACTATATGAGATTGTCACCTATTTAGATAGTTAAATGTTGGCATATAGGATCATATATTTTTAAAATATGACCTTAATGTTAATTAAACTCTTGCTTCTCTCTGAAAGCAGTTAGAGAGCATTGCCAGTAATTGATTCGAGTCATTCCAATTTTGTTAACAGTGCTTCTGTATCATCATGATATCTATATATAAACACAGGTTTGTTTCATTTTTGAATGGGTTGATTTCTACTCAGAAGAATAGAAATTACCATCCATGCTTTGACCTACTGAAAGTAGTCTTTATGGTTCCTCAAAGTTGTTCCAGCTAATCCAGACTTTAGAAATGTTATTTGGAAGCATAAGCATTAATACCATGGGGTAGTATATAGTAATGTGGCAAAGAGAACTCAGAACAGTATGCTTAGTATCAAAAATATTGAGAGAGTGGATTAGGGGGAAATTTTTATCTTTGTTTTCTTTACAGCTCTGCCATGAAGTAAAGCTTCGGAGGAAAATCAACGTGAGTGAACGTGCGATTATTGATCTTAATCGTGAAAAGGCCATTCAAGACAAAATGATGGAATCTTCTCCAAATTATCCCAATTCAAGACAATGTGAATTTACAGGGATGAATCACAGGGATGGTCTGGGGAGAAAAGGTAAAACAGAGCAGAGCTTACTCAGTGAAAGAAATCAAATGTGTAAGGAACAAAAAACAATCAAAAAATCAAAAGTAGAGTTAATGGATTCTATGGCCACAGACAACCAAAAGGAATGTGAGACCCCGCCTGACCTGAGGACTTCTGAGGAAGAGAACAAGAGGTGCTCTGGTGCCCTCAACACAGTAAGTAAGCCAGGATTGGCCTAGAACTGTTTCTAAAGACATATTTACATTTCAAAGGACTAACATGCTATTGCTTATATGTATAAAGGCTCTTGAAGAACTTGCCAAAGTTAGTGAAGAATTATGCAGCTTTCAAGAGGAAATTCGAAAGCGTTCTAACCACAGAAGGTAGGCTGGTACATCTATGATGATTTTTATGTTGGAAAATCAAAAAGAATGTTGTTTTTAGTTAATGAATCCAAACTTCCTTTAGCATCTAACACTTTGTTAGTGAGAATTAATAATGCTGTTAAAATATGTTATCTTAGGAGATAAAAACTTAAATTGTATGTTTCTCTGTTCACTAATTCTTAAAGCAAATCTTCTAGTTCTCTTTGTAGTTTGACTCTTAGGTGTACTTTACTTTTTTGGTGTTTAGTGAAGTTATACTAACCATAATAAATTAACAAGTATACTCCAATGGAGTTCTTTTTTATTTTGAGTATTTGGCCAGTGGAAGAGTATACTGGGTTAGTTTAGTTAAATACATCTTTAAACTATGTAAAATTTAACAATGGTGTTTTAATTATATAATGATGTTCTACTGAAACATTTTCAGCCATTTATTTTTCTACATTTATTATATATATAATGGAAGCATTCATAATTTTCAGAATAACATATTATAAATATGTACACACATACATATTTATACAGTGCTGTAAAACATGCTCTTTCAGTTCAGAAGCACCCTTATAACTGTAAGGGTAGGTTTTAGCCAAATTGAAAAATAAATTGGAATTCTCTACAAGTTAAGTAAAGATGGATTGTTCTAGGATCACCATTTATCTCCTAGTGGGGCAGTATACTTCTCTTAGAAGCTATAGGAATGTGGACCCTTATTTTTCTTTAGCTTTTTGGAAGCTCAGAGAGAATTTTTGTACTGACTTACAACAGATTTTCTTACCCAACCATGTTTTTTACATAATTTTGCCTTCCACTTTTCCACTGAGCTTTTGCCTACTACTCTCTAATGGGTATTTGTCTGCGCTTTATTGTAAGCTATCTCGTAATATAAGTTGAAGAGATATAAATATGATTTATATGTATCAATATGATTAATTAATGTTAATTTGTGAACCCACATTCTTGTAATATTTAGGTTTTTGTTTCAATAATTCTTACTTGCCAATTTTTTTTTAACAAACCACACCTGGTATAAAGTTCTCACTGCCACTTATTGCCTTTCGAGAAAAGCTTAAAATCCTTAGTATGTAATTCAAAGTCATTACAGTTTGACCTAATATTTCTCTTTTATTTGCCATCATCTTTCCCACTTTTTTATATTCCATCCACACCAGAGTACTCACTGTTCCTTGAATAGCCACACTATTTGTACTGCAGCTCTCTTTTGCTTATATGTCCTTTACTCATAAAATTTTTAAAAAGATGATCACTTTTCTTTTATGCCCAAATAACACCTTCCATTTGGTATTGCTCATGTCTGTTTGCGCTTTGATTCAGATTTCTGTCACACTACTTAGAATGTTATTTCAAATTCAAGGGGAGGAGTTTGAGCTCAGAAGACGTTATAAATAGGAATTCAGTAGGCAAAGTGGATATAAGGAAATGGCAAGAGAAAACCTATAGAAGTGGGAACGCCAATAGCAGACACCCAAGAGACTACACACAGTCGAGTCTGAGTGTAGGTGAAGTTTAGGTAATAGAAAAAAATGAGAGACACAGTTAAAAAGGTAGCTTGGGTCAGACTATGTATATAGAGTTGAATACAACACTGAGAGGTGGCCTTTATGCTGCAGTAAAGGGACTTGAAGTTTTGTACTATGGGATTTATATAAAAATAATGTTTAAGGAAGTTGTGACTCCTTTTCCTATAACAGAATCCATTGCTTTAGCCCCAGTGTCTTTTAAGAGTTTATCGTAGGGCTTCCTTGGTGGCGCAGTGGTTGAGAGTCCGCCTGCCGATGCAGGGGACACGGGTTTGTGCCCCGGTCCGGGAAGATCCCACATGCTGCAGAGTGGCTGGGCCCATGAGCCATGGCCGCTGAGCCTGCGCGTCCGGAGCCTGTGCTCCACAACGGGAAAGGCCACAGCAGTGAGAGGCCCACGTACCGCAAAAAAAAAAAAAAAAAAAAAAAAAGAGCTTATCATAAATAAAGTCATAACTAATATACCATGTTTTATAATTGTCTAGGATGAAGTCAGATTCTTTTCTCCAGGAAACACCAGTTGTAACTAATATGCCTTATGGAGATCACATGATCAACAACAACCAGTGCATTACTCCAACCAGTTTAGAAAAAGAGAAGAAGAAAAATAGAAAGAATCTGAGCTGTACTGATGTTTTCCAAAACAATTCTAAGAAAAAAGGTGGAATTGATAAAACTGATCTGCAAAGAAGTAAAACCCCACCAGTTCCTCCTCCAAGAAGTACATCTCGAAATTTTCCCAGCTCATGTTCTGCACAAGCCCATGAAAGTTTGAAGGAAAGTTCAGACCACAATGGCTGGGTGGCCCAAGAAGGTCAAGGCAAAAAGAACTGCAACCCTCATTTCCTCTGGAGGCACGACGAGATGCCTACGCTGTGTCTAAATGAAAGGAAGACTTTGAAAGATGGTATCACATTTTCTTCTTTGGCACCAGAAACCAAAATAGATAAAAAGCCTTCATGTAATGAAAATGTTGGACTTACCACGTGGTCATGTGACACTGGGATTGGTGCAAAAAATAGCCCCTCTACACCATGGTTTCAGAAAACCTGCTCTATTCCCAGTAAGCCAAAATATGAAAAGGTGATTCCAGATCACCCTGCTAAGTCTCATCCTGATCTTCACATAAGCAATGTCTGTAGCTCCTTGGTGACACAGAGCAGCAGCCCGCTGAGAAGTTTCAGTTGTGGCTTTGAAAGGACTACTAGGAATGAAAAGCTGGCAGCAAAGACTGATGAATTTAACAGAATCGTATTTAGAACAAATAGAAATTGTCATGCAGTACAGCAAAGTCAAAGCTACTCAGAACCATCTGAAGATCTTCAGCCCTGTGATACTTTAATTTCTTGCACAGATAACATCTCAGAAAGTGACAGTGTTTCTGACATTCTGAAAACCAGTGCCCCCATGCCTGTGCCCAGGGAAAATGTGCATGATAATTCCACCAAAAAACCCACAACAGGCCTATTTAGACAAATGCAGGAACACATAAGCCGTGGCAGTTACCGGAATATGCTCCACGAGCATGACTGGAGACCAAGTAATTTGTCTGGCCGACCAAGGTCAGCTGATCCCAGGTCAAATTATGGTGTGGTGGAAAAGCTGCTGAAAACCTATGAGACATCAGCGGGGTCCGCATTGCAAAATTCTAAATGCTTCCAGGCTAATTGGACCAAATGTAATTCTGATGTCAGTGGCAGAGCCACATTAAGTCAGCATTTTAAAAAGCTCCAAATAGAACAAGAGCTTCAGCAAAAGCCAGCTATGTGTGGAGCACAACAAGTGAAGCAAGGAGCAGATCGGAAAAAGGTAACTGAGGTGAGAAAGAAATTTAACATATTTTGGTAGAACTGCATCCATATTTAGCAATGGCTCCGAGTTCAGTCAGTTGCCCATGCATATAAATAGAATGTAGGCACATGTTTTGACATCTTCTTAGTTCCTTGACCCTTCATTTGTGAATAAATATAAACCTTAGAATTGTAACTCAAGATGAACTTTTAAAAGCATAGTTTTTAAGTCTGGGTTTAGCACATTATAACTTTTATTCAAATTCTGAAATGGCACAACACAATCTAATAAATTAAATTCTTAAGAACCTCAAAAAGATCAAATGTTTGCTGTGTTTCTTTCTTGAAAAAAAATACTCTGAATGTGCAACTGTTCATTTATAGAATCTTATCCTGTTAAAGTGTTTATATTTTTAAAAGTATATGGGAAGTATTTATAAATAACTTGCACTTTTCAGTTATTAGCTATGGTTGGTTCAGTCATTCCCAGAATTTGATTCATGTTCTTCCTCAGGGGATTAGTCACATGAATATGAGTTTGGGTGAAAAAAAATCATTTAAAATAGTGCCTTATGCAGTTCTCTTATTGTGGAGCTAAAAGGCAATATATGAAAAGAAAAATGATAGTATAGCGTAAAAAAATTTAAGGTCATTATTATTTGTATAAATTCTTCGTGTGGAAATTGCCTGCCCCGCCCCCCCCAAAAATGGGTATTTAAATAAACTGTTATCCTTTCTTTATTCCAGTTTGCTTGCAAAAGAGTATAATTTTAGAGGAGAAAAAGAGGTTGAAGAGAAGAGATTTGTATTTACAATGAAGAGCTATCCATCAGCACATTTTATGCATAATTTATAAAAAATTACAAGGTGACATACTGTTATAATTAGCCAATGCTTTGAAAATCCTGGTTTTACATAGTGCGATGTATATGCACCATTGTTTTAAACAAGGCAGGTTGCCTCCTTCTTGTGTAAGAAATTATTTTTATGAGGCTTTCAAGCCCTACAAAAGTATCAGTATATATATAGTTTATCAGAAACTTTGCCTGTTTGCCCAAAGTACAAATAATTAATCCTGCTTTTCTATTTTTTTTTTTTTTTTTTAGTTAAGCCCATAAATACCTGTAAGGTCCTGTGGCTTCAGACGGGAAATGAAAGCACATATACAATAATCAGCCAAAATTCTCATGAACAAATATTACTAAGTATCTCCCATTTTTGTACTGATAGGAGGTTTGGGAAGGGTCCTCTGCTGTCGATCATTAAGAGTAGTTCTCCATCCCTCCCCCCCAGGAACAGGTTTACAAAAATAAGACTCCAAGGAGAGAAAAAGCAAATGCAGGTTACTTTCATAGAAATAAAGGTTGTCCTTACTGCCCGTCTCAGGTGAAAGAGCACAGGCTTTGTTAAGAAGGTCAATAAGAATCAAAGTACAAAATGTGTCATGAAAGCTTTTTAACTGTTTCTTAATGGCAAGAGTCCTAGAATGCTTTTCTTCCATTAAAATAAAAAGAAAGAGAAGTAGGAAGAAATGAAAGAAAGCAAAGGGAAGAGAAGGGAAAAGTTTTCAGTCTTCGGAAGATACCCAAGATAGATCGCAACTCTTTCTTAGCAAATAGAATGAAGTTATATTTTAAAATATTTTAATGATAATTTTGAAACTTTTTAGAGATAGTAACAGTGGTTCTTAGTGGAAAAAAAAAGATAGCATCAGACAAATCATTTGGTGGTTTGTGTGTCTTTTGCTTATGATTTCTAAAAGTGTCAACTTGACATAAAATAACTGGACATAAATTAATTCTTCTTTAAATTATTATCTTTAAAAAAAAACACTAAAATATCCTAACACTCCACTAAGAAAAATCTTTAGTTCTATCATATCAATTTTATCTAACATGAACTTTTGAGTTCTAACATAACATTAACTCATAGTTAGTTCTAAACAGAAATCAGTTGTATTAAAACTTGTCAGTGTGGAGATCTACAATATTATCAAATGCCATATTCATATTAAAAGTGAATTGTTTTGATTAAAACATTCAAGACCAGGAATAGCTTCTTTAATTTTCAATGCTTTTTCTTGCTTGTAAACACGGTAATACAATACATTAATCCTATAGTTGGGATCCATAATATGTTAAGCTCATTGTTTGTGCCTGAATAGTGAGATGAATGTCTTCATTTGTGTCTTAAGGAATCCGTGGCAGTGAAATGCTCACATGGAAAAGGATTTTCCCGACCTGCTAGACCAGCAAATCGCCGTCTCCCGTCCAGGTGGGCATCCAGATCTCCATCGGCACCCCCTGCCTTGCGGAGAACTGTCCACAACTTCCCCATTTCTCTGCGATCAGAAGCATCGATGGTCTGAGTCTCTGGCCTGGATTGCTGGATTACAAAAGTCCCAATTGCCAAACAGAGTATTCTGAGTGTTCACAACCAATTCTGTCTCTTTCAAGATTACTGGGACAATTGAAATCTTAACTTCCCATCAGTCTTCAGTGTTTTTAATCTATGGAACAATTATCCTCCTGTATTTTGATTTTTTAGATCAGAATTTTTTAATGCCATCCTCATTAATTTGCCAATATGATTTAAGTTGAAACAATGTACTATATTGTATATTCCAACTTTCTTGCAAGTGGCAGAAAGCAAGGTTATTTGCATGGCCGAGTGTTTTGTAGGTGCATGTGTTGATATAGGAAGTATCAGTATGTATTTAGATAAGAAAAACTTATGTGCTAGTGTTGACTTTGAAATTATAACATGTATACCTATATATTCTTTGTGTTTATTTAAAATTTTTAAAAATATACAGTATTATTTATATTTTTTATACCTTTTAATAGGTATCCACTTAAGGCTCTTGAGGTACCTATATTAACTAACCACTTCCTTGGTCCCAGCTACATACAAAACTAATTATACATATATCTAATGTTAGTAGATTTCTACAGACAACTCATAGTTCCTTAACCCATATAAAGATAGACTAATACCATTGATCTCCTTGTTTACTCTTTTAAATAAATAAAAGTGTCACAGGTTTAAACAGATTAGCCTTCTAAAGCAAACATAAAATGTTCACAAAAGCTTTGATATATCATTCAGCAGTCTATTGCGGCTTTCCCTGTATACTTGATCCTCAGAGCCAGCATCCTAAGACTGCTTTATAAACGACGTGACTAAACCGTGAATTCATTTTGGCAACTTCAGTAACAAAATACCTTAAATAGGATATAAAAAGAAATTTAATTATGCTGAATTCTACTCTTTGGTAAAATTATAGTAAATTTTTGTTCAGCTACTTTATTTGGAGTCCTACATATTGAGAGGTAAGTTATTCACTTTTTCCTTTTTCTAACCTTTCCCCTAAAATTAGTAGATAAGAGACGAATTCAATTTTTTATTAACAAAGAAAATCAGGAATGATATTTCATTGAGAACTGAATTATATTTCTTATAGTGTACTACATTAAGAAAAGCCTTAAACTAACCTTTGGCATCCATGGGGCAGCATAAGGGGCAGAAACTTTTTTGGGGCCACAGTTCATGAACAGTGAGCATATTATATCTATATTGAGAACTGACAGAAATATGAATGTTGAGGTGCTTGGAATTCTACGTGAAAGATCTTAGAAGCAACTTTGCTCTCCATTGTCTCTATGTAAAACCAGCTACATTATTAGATAGTAATTCTATTTAAGCTTTTCTTTACTAGCAAAAAGGTTAAGGAATTCTTATGGCAAAAGTATTCAAAGAACCTTCTCCTTGTGATACATTCTAACAATTTAGAGAGATTCACTTCATTATACCATGACTTGAGGTAAAGTAATTAATTTTCAAATCCCAGACTGCCTTAAAGGCTCAAGGCTGTTGCATGGTGATGGACAGATTCATACTTACCAATAGGAGAGCTTCCAGGAGTTGAGCAGAATTAAACTTCTAGAAGGTGAGGTTGGAGCAGATAATAAGTAAAGGCTATAGATCCAGTCTTTTAATTCTTGTTTCTTTCAGGAATATCCTTTTCCATAGGAAGACTATCAGAGAAAAGTAACCTGGACATTAAATGATGTCACTCATATAATATGCTTTTCATCTAGAAGGGAGAAAACACTGGGGAGGTGGTAGCCTATGGCATAAAATGATGGACCTGGTAGGGAGATTCTGCTGTGTAACATTGGAGAGCCTGCCCAAGGGCTGTGTGACATAGCTGCTCCTCTCCTTCACTGCATTCCAGGTAGTCTGATGTGGATCTGTGGTTCCTAACTTGAATTACAAGTCAGAATATTGAAGATTGTTTTTTAAATTAGATCCTGACCTCACCCCATAATTACTAAAGCAGAATTTCCAAGGGTGGGGAGGGAATCTTGAGTCCTTAATGAAACAAAGCAAAATATTTGATGATTAGGGAGATTTGGAAGCAGTGACATTGATTCATACCCCAGTGGATGGGCACCATTGGGTAGTCATGTTACTTCTCTGGAACTTGCCTTTGTTATCTGTAAATTAAAAGGGTAATATTGTCAGGCATCACAATTTTATGCCACTTGTTCTAACCATTTGAATGAAAGAGGGGAACACGTTTTAACATCTTGTGTTGACAAAAATCATAGAATATTAGAGCTGAAAAAAACTTAGCATCTAGTCCAGCTCCTTGATTGTAAAGACGGAAAAACTAAAACAAAGATTATTTGAATGTTCTGTTTTCTCTCTTTAAATATTTTACAATTTTTATGGAAAAACCTACGAGTTAAATGGAAATTATCCTTGAAAATACATGTTTGATGTATCGTGATTTTTAACCAGTAGTTTTTCTACTTTGGATGGGCATTTTCTTCCCAACATACCCTTTATTATGCCATCATTGCTGGATTTAAGGGATTTGTAAACATTTCAGGAGCACTTGATTAGATGTTTTCCCTGGCAGACTTTTTGGGGGTGGGATATCTTATATTATTTCAATAGAGGGTTATTGATATTATAGGTTGATCTCAGAAAGGAATAAGAATGAGGCAGAGAAGAGTGCTTGAGTTTCTGTGGGTGTGCGTGTGTGCACACGCGTGCACAACCCTTGCCCGAGTTCTCCATATTCCCTTATGCCCGAAGCCAAATATAAATGATGTTGCATAATTCATTTTATCAAAAATTATCTGTAACTTTCATTTATTTTTACATAGACAATGAAGATGATGAGATATTAACATGCACAAAACGTGATTTACCTCTACATAGAGGATTTAGCCAGACTCCATGTCATCCTGAGAAAACATCTGGACCTAAAAAAGGAGAATCTGCTTTCCTACAAAGATTTTTAAAATTATTTTGAGGCACACTTGCTGACAAACAACTACTTGATAATAAAATCTCTTCAGTCATTGGAAGCTATCAAGTAAAATAGGTGGGGAAACACGTGCTGTGGCATCGGTATACGTGAGGAACATTTTTATTTTCCTCCTTTTCTGGTGAAACTCCAGCTGAGAGTTTTTTAAAGTCTAAACTCAAATATGTACACAGTTCAACCTAGCTTCTCCTAAAATGTTTCTAGACAGTAGAGTCTAAAGACCAAGCCTGCCTGATTCCTACACCCAGCCGAATGCCAACACATCTAGTTTCTCATGTACTGACACCATTTTGTGCCCATTTTTCTGCTTATTGAGTCCGATTAAGTTTTGTTTAAAAAAGGAATACTCCTCTGAAATTTTCTTTTACATGATGAAATTAAATTATTTTTAGGCATATTACAATTTCTAATATAGTACGATTTTACTTCAAATTCTTAACATTTCTTTTTTTTTTTTTTTTTTGCGGTACACGGGCCCCCCACTGCTGTGGCCTCTCCCGTTGCGGAGCACAGGCTCCGGACGCTCAGGCTCAGCGGCCATGGCTCACGGGCCCAGCCGCTCTGCGGCATGTGGGATGCTCCCGGACCGGGGCACAAACCCGTGTCCCCTGCATTGGCAGGCGGACCCTCAACCACTGCGCCACCAGGGAAGCCCTGCACATTTCTTCTTAAATAACAAGTACCTTTATCAGAATCTAGAACCATGACTTACTCATTTTACTATAGCTCAGAAAATATGCGCCTTCAAAAAATGAGCTTCATGAAGCAAAAAAATCAAAGCAAAGAAAAAAAAGTTGGGGGAGGAGTTTTAAGGCAAGTGTCTACTCAACATTTTTTAGTCTTTGTCTCAATGGGAAAAAAATCATAAGACTTAAAATCTGACATATATTTCAATGATCTCATGAATCCAACAGGTAAGACTGGCAAATTCTGAAAAAAGAAAAATTCTGCTTATATGAAGCTGTGATGGAGTCTAGAAATGAGAGAAGAATCTAGAATAGGAAGGACCTTAGAAACCACACAGCGCAATCTCATCTAGAGGAGAGAAACCCGAAACTTGGAGAGGTCTGCATGGCTGCCAAGGTTATAGGGCCAGGAACCCAGCCAGATTCAAACACCAGTGGTTTGCCTCCTTGTACACCCATGTGCATCTGGGACTCGATGGTTTGCAAAGCACATTCATATGCCTTGACTTATTTACTTCTTACCAACGAGCTTCAAGGCAGCCATTGTGATTTCTCATTACAGAAGGAAAAATTAAATAGTCAAGACAATAGAATAAATATTTCCCAAGATAATGTTTAGAAATAAATAGGTGGCTCTTCGACTCTTAGTTCAGGTTCTTTTCCCAAAGAAGAGAAGAGGAAGGCAAAGAGTGAATAGTTCCTTTTCACTTATGTTTTATGCATGACAATGGAATTGTTTATTTTGCTTTCATTGAGAATTTCTCTTTTTTTATTAATATCTTTATCGGAATATAATTGCTTTACAAGGGCCTGTTAGTTTCGGCTTTATAACAAAGTGAATCAGCTATACATATACATATATCCCCATATCTCCTTTCTTGCGTTTCCCTCCCAACATCCCTATCCCACCCCTCTAGGTGTTCACAAAGCACCGAGCTGATCTCCCTGTGCTATGCAGCTACTTCCCACTAGCTAGCTATTTTATATTTGGTAGTGTATATATTTCCATGCCCCTCTCTCACTTTGTCCGAGCTTACCCTTCCCTCTCCCCGTGTCCTCAAGTCCGTTCTCTACTTCTGCACCTTTATTCTGGTCCTGCCCCTAGGCTCTTCAGAACCATTTTTGTTTGTTTGTTAGATTCCACATATATGTGTTAGCGTACGGTATTTGTTTTTCTCTCTCTGACTTAATTCACTCTGTATGACAGTCTCTAGGTCCATCCACATCACTACAAATAACTCAGTTTCATTTCTTTTTACGGCTGAGTAATATTCCATTCTATTTATGTGCCACACCTTCTTTATCCATTCATCTGTCGATGGACACTTAAATTGCTTCCATGTCCTGGCTATTGTAAATAGAGCTGCAATGAACATTGTGGTACATAATGCTTTTTGAATTATGGTTTTCTCAGGGTATATGCCCAGTTGTGGGATTGCTGGGTCGTATGGTAGTTCTATTTTTAGTTTTTTTTTTTTTTTTTTTTTTTTTTTTTTTTTTTTTTTTTTTGTGGTACATGGGCCTCTCACTGTTGTGGCCTCTCCCGTTGTGGAGCACAGGCTCCGGACGCGCAGGCTTAGCGGCCATGGCTTATGGGCCCAGCCGCTCCGCGGTATGTGGGATATTCCCGGACCGGGACACGAACCCCTGTCCCCTGCATCGGCAGAAAGACTCTCTACCACTGCGCCACCAGGAAAGCCCTATTTTTAGTTTTTTAAGGAGCCTCCTTACTGTTCTCTATAGAGAACGGTATGGCTGTATCAATTTACATTCCCACCAACAGTGCAAGAGGGTTCCCTTTTCTCCACACCCTCTCCAGTGTTTATTGTTTGTAGATTTTTTGATGATGGCCATTCTGACTGGTGTGAGGTGATACCTCATTGTAGTTTTGACTTGCATTTCTCTAATGATAGTGATGTTGAGCATCCTTTCATGTGTTTGTTGGCAATCTATATACCTTCTTTGGAGAAATGTCTATTTAGGTCTTCTGCCCATTTGTGGATTGGGTTGTTTGTCTTTCTGATATTGACCTGCATGAGCTGCTTGTAAATTTTGGAGATTAATCCTTTGCTAGTTGCTTTGTTTGTAAATATTTTCTCCCATTCTGAGGGTTGTCTTCTCGTATCTTTTATGGTTTCCTTTGCTGTGCAAAAGCTTTTAAGTTTCATTAGGTCCCATTTGTTTATTTTTGTTTTTATTTCTATTTCTCTAGGAGGTGGTTCAAAAAGGATCTTGCTGTGATTTATGTCATAGAGTGTTCTGCCTGTGTTTTCCTCTGACAGTTTTATAGTGTCTGGCCTTACGTTTAGGTCTTTAATCCATTTTGAGTTTATTTTTGTGTATAGTGTTAGGGAGTGTTCTAATTTCATTCTTTTACATGTAGCTGTCCAGTTTTCCCAGCACCACGTATTGAAGAGGCTGTCCTTTCTCCATTGTACATTCTTCCCTGCTTTATTAAGGATAAGGTGACCATATGTGCTTGGGTTTATCTCTGGGCTTTCTGTCCAGTTCCGTTGATCTATATTTCTGCTTTTGTGCCAGTGCCATACTGTCTTGATTACTGTCGTTTTGTAGTATAGTGTGAAGTCCAGGAGCCTGAACTTCCAGCTCCGTTTTTCTTTCTCAAGATTGCTTTGGCTATTTGGGATCTTTTGTGTTTCCATACAAATTGTGAAATTTTTTGTTCTAGTTCTGTGAAAAATGCCATTGGTAGTTTGATAGGGATAGCACTGAATCTGTAGATTGCTTTGGGTAGTATAGTCATTTTCACAATGCTGATTCTTCCAGTCTAAGAACATGGTATGTCTCTCCATCCGTTTATATCATCTTTACTTTCTTTCATCAGTGTCTTATAGTTTTCTGCATAGAGGTCTTTTGTCTCCTTAGGTAGGTTTATTCCTAAGTATTTTATTCTTTTTGTTGCAGTGGTAAATGGGAGTGTTTCCTTAATTTCTCTTTCAGATTTTTCATCATTAGTGTATAGGAATGCAAGAGATTTCTGTGCATTAATTTTGTAACCTGCTACTTTACCAAAATCATTGATTAGCTCTGGTAGTTTTCTAGTAGCATCTTTAGGATTCTGTATGTATAGTTACCATGTCATCTGCAAACAGTGACAGTTTTACTCTTCTTTTCCAATTTGTATTCCTTTTATTTCTTTTTCTTCTCTAATTGCTGTGGCTAAAACTACCAAAACTATGTTGAATAATAGTGGTGAGAGTGGGCAACCATGTCTTGTTCCTGATCTTAGTGGAAATGGTTTCAGTTTTTCACCATTGAGAACAATGTTGGCTGTGGGTTTGTCATATATGGCCTTTATTATGTTGAGGAAAGTTCCCTCTATGCCTAATATCTGGAGAGTTTTTATCATAAATGGGTGCTGAATTTTGTGGAAAGCTTTTTCTGCATCTATTGAGATGATCATATGGCTTTTCTCCTTCAATTTGTTAATATGATTTATTACATTGATTGATTTGTGCATATTGAAGAATCCTTGCACTCCTGGGATAAACCCCACTTGACCATGGTGTATGATCCTTTTCATGTGCTGTTGGATTCTGTTTGCTTGTATTTTATTGAGGATTTATGCATTTATGTTCATCGGTGATATTGGCCTGTAGTTTTCTTTCTTTGTGACATCTTTGTCTAGTTTTGGTATCAGGGTGATGGTGGCCTCGTGGAATGAGTTTGGGAGTGTTCCTCCCTCTGCTGTATTTTGGGAGAGTTTGAGAAGGATACATGGTAGCTCTTCTCTAAATGTTTGGTAGAATTGTCTGTGAAGCCATCTGGTCCTGGGCTTTTGTTTGTTGGAAGATTTTTAATCACAGTTTCAATTTCAGTGCTTGTGATTGGTCTGTTTATATTTTCTATTTCTTCCTGGTTCAGTCTCGGGAGGTTGTGCTTTTCTAAGAATTTGTCCATTTTTTCCAGGTTGTCCATTTTATTGGCATATAGCTGCTTGTAGTAGTCTCTCATGATCCTTCGTATTTCTGCAGTGTCAGTTGTTACTTTTCCTTTTTCATTTCTTATTCTATTGATTTGAGTCTTCTACTTTTTTTTCTTGATGAGTCTAGCTAATGGTTTATCAATTTTGTTTATCTTCTCAAAGAACCAGCTTTTCTATCTTTTCTATCATTTCCTTCATTTCTTTTTCATCTATTTCTGATCTGATCATTATGATTTCTTTCCTTCTGCTAACTTTGGGGGTTTTTTGTTCTTCTTTCTCTAATTGCTTTAGGTGTAAGGTTAGGTTGCTTACTTGAGATGTTTCTTGTTTCTTGAGATAGGATTGTACTGCTATAAACTTCCCTCTTAGAACTGCTTTTGCTGCATCCCATAGGTTTTGGGTCTCGTGTTTTCGTTGTCATTTGTTTCTAGGTATTTTTTGATTTCCTCTTTGATTTCTTCAGTGATCTCTTCGTTATTTAGTAGTGTATTGTTTAGCCTCCATGTGTTTGTATTTTTTACAGATTGTTTTTCCAGTAGTTGATGCCTAGTTTCACAGTTTTGTGGTCAGAAAAGGTACTTGATAAGATTTCAATTTTCTTAAATTTACCAAGGCTTGATTTGTGACCCAAGATATGATCTATCCTGGACAATGTTCCTCGAGCACTTAAGAAGAAAGTGTATTCTGTTGTTTTTGGATGGAATGTCCTATAAATATCAATTAAGTCCATCTTGTTTAATGTATCATTTAAAGCTTGTGTTTCCTTATTTATTTTCATTTTGGATGATCGGTCCACTGGTGAGACTGAGGTGTTAAAGTCTCCC